GTGTGTGTGTGTATTCATATTTGGAAGTAGACGGCCAAGGAAAAATCAAAAAAGTTATACATTCCCTTCAATACACTTCGCAGGAATTGGTGTATGAGCGAGCCAAGATAGTTGAGACCGTCACCGAAGACAGCGACTCGGATGTGAAACCCAGACATCGCGTACACATCAATAAAGCGAAGGTAAGTCTAATATGAGACAGAAAGGTTAAATGGATATAATTTACGACACAAATGCTAACTCGATGTAATATACGGGCCCAAGGCGACGCGAAGATTAAACAAAAAGAATATACGACACAAAGTGAAATCAAGTCTAGTATAAGACGCAAAGAGAATATGCACCTAACTTACGACACTCCGCGAATAGCAGTCACTGATTCTGTGAGAGAGTGCCCCGTTGTACACGACCCTGTTGCCTAGCAACTGCTCTAAATACACGCTATTAAATACATTCGATTTGCGATATTATCGTGAACTAGTCACGAACTTTGGCGTAACAAAAGACACTTGGGAGCCAATATTGGTGAAAAGATCGGTGTATCTGCCTAAAAGCAACCATTTTGGGTTCTTTTGTCCCATTTGGTTGGCACGGAAGGACAAATCGATATGTCAATTCGAAAACAAGAATGTGGACCGATTGTGCCCCATGTGGTTAATCGGAAGTACTCATGCACAGTGGTATAGAATGAGGGAGTTTTATTCCAAATCCGCTTCAGATAGTATAGTCACCACATCACAGATAGTCTGTAAGCCTGACCAACTTTGTATACATATGGACATAGCTGACTAATCCTATAGACATAACTGACCAGCTATTTACACACATGGTCTGACTTGCCCATCACTTGACACATCACTTGAACTAAGTCCAAGTACCAGTTTGTGTTGTATTTAAACATAACGGACTAATCATGTACACACATGGGCATACTGATTAATCATATACACATCTGGGCATAACTGTTTAATCATATACACATATGGGCATAACTGTTTAATCATATACACATATGGACATAACTGATTAATCATATACACCCATGAGCATAACTGACTAACGTAACCATACTATATACACACATTGTCTTATCTGCCCATCACTTGACAGATCACCTGGACTAAGGCCAAGTACCAGTTTGTGTTGTATCTGATTGACATGTGGCAGAACCACTCGCAAATGCAGCAAGACATGTCGCCGCGGGTGCTGATCACACACCTGGAAACGGACAACGGCGGTGTGTATGGTTGTGTGGCTAAGAGTTTTCATTAGTTACTATAGTAGTTAAGTAACTATAATAATTATTATGTATGAATGTATGGCCAAGAGTTATTACTAGTTACTGTAATAGTTAAGTAGCTATAATAATTATTATGTATGTATGGATCTATGGCTAAGAGTTATTTCTAGTTACTGTAATAGTTAAGTAGCTATGATAATTATTATGTATGTATGGATGTGTGGCTAAGAGTTATTACTAGTTACTGTAATAGTTAAGTAGCTATGATAATTATTATGTATGTATGGACGTGTCGCTAAGAGTTATTACTAGTTACTGTAATAGTTAAGTAGCTATAGTAATTGTTATGTATGAATGTATGGCTAAAATTTATTACTAGTTGCTGTAATAGCTAGGTAGCTATAAAAACTGTTATGTATGAATGAAAGTATGGCCAAGAGTTATTAATATTTTACTATAATAGCTGATTGGCTATAATAATTATCATGTATGAATTTATGGCCAAGAGTTATTGATAATCACTTTAATAGTCGATTGGCTATACTAATTATATATGGCCAAGAAGTACAACTAACGTATCTTATGCATTGGGAAATAGTGCTGGCTAGCATACTCTTGGCACTCCACTCTACTCCATCTAGCATGCATGCTATAGCTTTGGTGTGTTCTGTGGTTTGTTGTGAAGGTACGTCGCATATGTCAAGTGGTTGTCTAGGAACACAATACACATCACCCTCTACACGCCCATCGCCCTTGTTCTGAGCACAGTTCTCTTATACGGCGTGCATATCTCTTATTTGTCACTGGATTGGTTAATTTTGCGTGAATCTGTCTTATTTTGCGTGAATTTGTCTTATCTGGCGTGTATTGCTCTTATTTGGCGTGGTTCCCATTGATTTCTTAGGTGATAAAACACCGGATGGTGAGGGGGTGGAGGGTGCTGTGGATATGTCGAGTGCGCAGGTGGGCGATCAGGTCCACAATCTCATCACCACCATGTTGGCCTGTGACGACGATGACCGAACGGTTCTGGCTGACGTTTCCATGGCAACGGGTTACGAGCCGCGCGAAGGTGTGCGTGTATACACGGGCGTGTATGAATATGTGTGTATATCTCCGTGTGCATGTGAATGCAGATCTACACAAGATAAGTATCGCGTGCTTGTGCGTACATATGTCTATAGGTTGTAAATTTTTTGTGTACACGCTTGAGAATTTAGTTCATGATCGCCTGCGACGGCTTTGGCCGGCGTTTCCATGCCAACGGGGGAAGGCTGTTGTCGTCTCTATCTACATCTTGTCGCTCTATTGTGTGCGTGCGCTTAATTCAGAGTATTTGCAATCCGATCCACACACCCACTTAGCCACGTCTCTCTGCCCTGTTCCCAAACCCATAGATCTAGCAATACCTACCTAACGCTTGCATTCACTGTAGTCTCTCACCAGACGTTCTTGTGTGTCCTTTTATGGCCATATCCTCACTGTTCATGCTCGTGGGTGTGATTGGTTTCTATATTTAGACGAGCCAGCGCCAGCAGAAGACACCAAGGTGCAGAACCTCATTGACCAGCACGCACGCCCAGCCTTCCGCAACCTGGAGGTAGTATTCTCCAGTCTACAGGTATGAGTCATGGGGTCAATCAGATACCCAATACGATTACGCTGCTTGGACAAACTATTAGGCCTATTGAGACAGATAGACACATGTGTGTCTAGAAATAGTCGTATATATATATGTGTGTGTGTGTGTGTGTGTGTGTAATATATGTGTGTGTGTAATGTGATTGTGTGTGTGTGTGTGTGTACATTTTTGTGTAGTGTGGAGAATTGTTGTTTCATTTATCTCTGTGTCTATATCAAAAGAACTATAGATATACTTCACCCTGTTCAGTTCAGATAAAATTGGTAGACAAGTTATTTGTGTTATATGCAGCCCCTTCCTTTCGCATCATACGACCCCGCACTAAAATTTGACACTATTTGTCCCATATCTGACCCAGGTCAATCTGGTAGGCGAAAGTGTGGGGGAGAATGGGAGTATCATAGCCACAGCCCACCACGGCACTTTAGAGTCGTTTCTGGGGCGCCCTTTGAAAGTGCACCAGAAACGCGTGTTTGTGCCATCGTATTTCAAGGGAGAGTTTAGGGCGGTCAAGCTGTTTGCTGCACCCAAGTCCAGGTACGTGAGGGTTTTTAGGGTTTAAGGCAGGAGTGTGTGGGTGCTGTGCGCATGTTTATATATTTCCAGTGACGGTGATAGACGTTTCCTCTTTAATTGTCCACACCCCCAGTGACGGTATGGGAAATCTTTAAAACATGTATACTCCTGTTTATGATATGGATCTCATCGTATATACACGTTTCCTCTTTAATTGTCCACACCCCCAGTGACGGTATGGGAAATCTTTAAAACATGTATACTCCTGATTATGATATGGATCTCATCGTATGTACACGTTTCCTCTTTAATTGTCCATACCCCCAGTGACGGTGTGGGGATCTCCAAGGTAGATCGCCTGGAGTGGGTGCCGGATTGGTTCATCACGCCGCACTTCAATGGGAACAAAGCAGCCGCTGATGCGAAAACTCGACAATGCACACACACCAAACAACGCACACCCGACACGCGCGTAGGCGACGACCAGGAAACAGGCGGTATGTTCTCAGGGTCTAGGGTTTAGGGTTTGGAGTTCTAGTGCATAGCGTGTGTGGTTTAGGATTTGGGGTTCTGAGGTATAGCGTGTCGGGTTTTAGGGTTTTTTTCCTACGTAGGCGACGACGAGGAAATAGGCTGTATGTTCTCAGGGTTTAAGGTTTTGGGTTTTGGGTTCCTGCCTATAATCTTAGATGGCCGTAAACGAATGGGTGTATCTAAAGGCATGAAGGTGTTTAGTGTCGGTGTGCTTAGGGTTGTGCTTGTGGTGAGAAGCGAACCCAAAACGAACCAAATAAATTGGAGAAGGGCGCACGAGTGGAACGGGTCATTCGTCGAACTACCACTGAACTTTAACCCTTTCACAAACACAAAAGTTAGCGCCTACCTAGGCGTTGCTATGGAAACGCTGTACATGGCATAACACATAGACTACCGCTTACCACCCCACTGCCGCAATCATTCGCGTGAGCTGTATGGCTACACAAACTATCACTACCAACACGCCCTTTGGTAACACTCAGCCCATTTTATGTACACATATGCCTTTTACGTATACTGTTTACGTAACTATAACTCGCTCCTGTTTGCCACTCCATTGTCAGAATACTTTGTTTGAACAGTATGCTACGGACATTGTTTCTAAAACCACGCCCATCACGTTATGCGCAAACTGCTCGGTGCACACCAATGTATACTGTTTACGTATCTATCCATCCTGTTTACGTAGCTATTAATTATGTTTTCGTGCTCATTATTTACGAATTAATTCCTGATGCAGGCCATCGCAGTCACCGCCCCTCCGGTCAGCGCGTGCACTCGTC